GGGGGGGGGGGGGGGGGGGGGGGGGGGGGGGGGGGGGGGGGGGGGGGGACTTCGTGTCGGCCAATCCCATTTACCCTGGTTTGCGGGAGGGGAAAAAAGGAAAAGAATAAAATACTGGTCGCTGAAATTCACGCGTGCCCATCATTGTGTTCCCATTTTGTTCAGGACGTGGGGGGGTTCAGGAAGAGACACTGTGATATTCTTATGTTTTCGGTCTTCCAAGTGTATGGCATCACTTGTTGCGTGCCTGTGGGTTTATTTTAGACTATATACGGCACTTTTTTACGTTCAACACCCGGAATTTAGTGTGTGTGTGTTCGTGTGAAAACTGTGTGTTTGTGCAACACAAAGCCCCGACCAAAGTAGAGAAAAGAATGGTGTTTCTCCCGGGGTGGTAGTCTCAGTCAATAGGACATGTTTGAACATTTTGTTTCATACACAAGATATCGGTGGTGGGGGTGTGAAAATTTAGTGTGTGTGTGTTCGTGTGAAAACTGTGTGTTTGTGAAACACAAAGCCCCGACCAAAGTAGAGAAAATAATGGCGTTTCTCCTTTCTCCCGGGGTGGTAGTCTCAGTCAATAGGACGTGTTTGAACGTTTTGTTTCATACACAAGATATCGGTGGTGGGGGTGTGAAGCTTCGTTGAACACCTGCGGGAAAACTGTGTGAGAATTGGAAATTCGGTGAACATTGCGTGAAAACTGTGTGAAAAATGGAATTTTGGTGAACATTGCGTGAAAATTTAGTGTGTGTGTGCGCGCACAACACAAATCCAACGAGTCACAGTCTTTGCGCAGTCACTGAGAAAGGAAGGACATTGACGACGAAGATGTTAGTGGATTGAAGTCATACCGTCCACTGCATGAAATGATCGTCGTTGATCCCTTCTACTTTGACAACCGAGCACTTACTGTTTAAGGCCGGTGAACTCGGACCACCGCGTGCAATTTTTAACCATCCACCCAAATCAAACTCGTGCCCTGTGAATTTTCTGTGACTAATCACGACGTGGAGCGTCTTCAAATCGCTGAATACACGGAATCCGACTTCTTCAGGAAGCAGTTTTCTGGCGTACAAATTTACTGATTTACTAAATCGATGGTTTACCTCGGCGGGCGTTAGGCGGGATGTATCTTTCATTCCGCGCAACCGATTGACACCCCCTATAAAGTGTTCGTATTCGCATAATAATGGTATCCGGTAGGTTCCTCCACCAACCTTGATATCTACCTCGTGATTGCCGTGACTACTGGGCGAAAATTGGACAGCACTACCAACAAGTTCAGGCAGCCCCCTCCCAGGAACAAATGATAACGCGCACGCCAATTCAAAGTAATTTGCTCGGGGGTATGTGATAATTGCTCCCATGAGATCGACAAGGTCGCTTGCGTTCACTGTGATGCTCTTTTCACACTTCGCTGCCAAGGCTTCTCGACGTCGTTTCCTTGGAATACTTTTTTCTTCCGGTGTGAGTTCCAGCTGAGAGACGTACGGCGGAAGTATATTTACCTTCCGTACGAGAGCGTCGATATCAACCAGCCCAGTGAAGGACTCCTTGTGGGAATGAATGGTATTGCGCGCTGCCCATTTGCCGAATAAATCCAACTTGAAAAACGAAATGATTCGGCTCTCGGCTATTTTGAGCTGTTTCAAGCTGTATTTCTTCCTTGAATCACTTGAGGCTTTCTGGCCAGCGACGACGCCTTCCTCTGTAGGACTTTGAGTATGCGCTTTAGGCCCTTCCTGATGGCGCCATCGTTTTGGCCGGGACCGTATACTTGCATCCATTCTCGCCTGACTCGCCGGACATTTTTGTTGGGAGAGCCTGGATGCAGAGTCCTCAAGACCTCAAGAACATGGACCGGGTCTTTATTATCCTCCAACCAACGAGCACACTGCGGAATGAGATCGTTCATGATTGAATTATTTGTATACACACAATACATATTATTTCCTGAGTTTCTTGGTATAAAAGCTACAGGTCGACCACGGTACAATCAACTTGTCTTCCTCTTTTTCGACTTCCCTCTCCCTAGGCTTCCTCTGGCTCTGTTGCACTTTAAGCATTTCACATCTACATTATCGATCTTGTGCGGCAAAGCGCAGTCAAGACGATCGAGAGTCGGTTGGCATTCGCTATAAACGGTCCAGAAAAGTTCATGGTTGCACAAGTTGCACCTCCCCCCGTAGGAGCGGTGGAGTTCTTGGACGAGAGCTTCTCTGTGTTGTCCCCCCTCATCAGATCCGAGACGCTCGGCCGCAACGTCGGCGTATATATAACTTGAAACCTTCCTAGAAACCCACGATGCCCTCTCTCGGTCTGACATGTCGCTCTTGCTTCGGTGAATATCGTCGATGACCCTGACGTTCGACGGTCCGGTCGCTCGACTTATGGCCGTGTATATCCAGTACACATCGGCGTAAGGGTGTCGGGCCTGGTGTATGATCAGTCTCCCTTCTACCGTACGGCCCTGGACGGCGTGTACCGTGCACGCTCCCGAGGAGTCAAACAAGTTTTCCGCCTCCGCTCGACAGAGTGAAGTCTCCTGAAGGCTAGCAGCACCGTCGAATGCGCTCGCGACAACAACGGTATCTCCTGAGGACCGGATGATGTTGTAGTTGTGATTCTTGTGAACCCTGCCCAGGTTCCCGAGGTCCCGATATTGTGCACCAACAACTGTTTTATGCCCCAGCACGTCCCAGCCTCCAGAATCGTTGCACCCCAGCAAGCCTCGAAACGTATAGAAACGAGCACAGTCTCTAGTGTAAGCGAGATGAAAGTCTGAAGGGCTTGGGTCGTCGAGACAACCACCACCAAATCTCTCGATGGCTCGAGTCTGTGCCTCGTGACTGTCGTTTCCTGCGGCCAGAATGTGCAAGAGGCCGTCGTCCATCTCCACCTGTTCGTCGACAGTTTTATCCCGCTTGCGCGCGAAGACATGAAAGCATGTGGGGAAGGCTTTTTCGAGGATGACCTTTCTGTTGACGTTGTCCCTGCTAATCGACATGCCGCTGCTCTCGCAAACGGGCTGGAGTTGGTGCGTGTCGTACGTCCCGATCACGTGGGTACCGCTGCTATGGGCGGCAGCCAGGACCATGCTTAGGGTACGGAGAGGCATATAAGCAGCTTCCTCTATGATGATCACGTCGACCTTAAGTGTACGTATCGACCCCGCCGTCTTCTTCACATGAGAATCATCGCCCAGGTAGAATCCGAGCTGGTGGTCAGCGGTCTTTACATTCCAACCGGATGGCAGGTTTGTGAAGGACGTTCTCAGACTATTGGTAGGGGTAACGACCAACCCCGTTTTGAAGATATTCTTGGCAGCGTTGAAGGCACAATAACTCTTCCCCGCCCCTCCATGTTCTCCGGTCACCGCACAAACAATCCTTGAACCTTGTCGAGACAACGAGCCGCGGAGTAAAATTTCTAGTTTTGATGGTGACTCGGCCTCGCATATTTCCGGCCACATATTGCGCTTGGTGTTCTTGCCGAGACGACGCCAGGCGCTGTGAGCTTCTTCCATCGAACTGAAGTCGGTGCCGATGCCATCCCACAGAGGGATCACTAAAAGCCGGGGTTTTAACGGGCAAGGAATTTTCCTCATTGCCGGAGGTAACGCATCCAGCGATAGCTTGACCACGATGCCTTCGAACACCCTCCTCTCTCCACACAGCGGGTTCTTCAATGCCGGTTCAAACTTGAGAGTGCCGGGGGTTTTGTCGTTGCCGCTAAACAACTGGTTGAAGCGGAGTCTCATATTTTCTTGCACCGAAGAAGATCCCCTGAAGAACACCGCGTCACACTGGAAGCTAAAGTCGGACGCGCCGCATAGTTCGAGAGCGTTCCTCGCCTCCAACACTCGTAATCGAGTTTCGTCGAGAATGAGCGCACCTAACGCCCAGAAGCCATCTCTGTACCAGGTCCGTTCTGCGTCGAAACAAAGGTATGCATCACCGGTGTGAAGTGAGTCGATGCCAAGGTCCCCTTGTCCCGTACGAAGCTCGGCCTTGACGCGATCGACTTCGCACAGGACAGGGACAATTTTTCCACCCACAGCCGAAGCCTCGTCACTGCTCGTAACCATGACGGCATCTATCCTGTCCGCATATCTCTGCTGCAACATACCGCTCGCCCGCACGAATATTCCTTTTTTAAATCGGCGTGCACAGTCGGCATCCTCGAGGAGAGGATCACCCAGCTCATGCGCGAGCAGGTCTCTTACAAATTTGGGTATGTGGCACCTGCTGACCGTTCTGGATGGTCGCACGAAGTGGGTGACTCTATGGCGAGGCGCGTTGTCGATGAGGTCGAGGTAACGCTCGTAGTTTCGACCGAAGACCGGCGTCACATCCGCATTAAGGAATACGTCTGGCTCACCGAGCGCGTCCAGCTTGATGATGTATAGCGTCCAATCCTCGATGTTGTGGCCATCGAACTCCTCCACCTCATCCATGTGGCCGAAAACGGGCACCGTCTCCATGTTCATTAGGGCGGCCGTGTGGGCCCCGTTTATGTCACATTGCCAGTCTTCCCTTCCGTAGGAACTCCCGGACGCGTCCTCTGCCCCGACGATCGGCCCCCGCCAGCACACCTCAAGGAGGGCGAGCAGAGACTGGCTGTACTGGCTCGATACTCGAAAATCCAATACCCCGCGGTGGAACTTCAGACCCAGGGCATTATGCAGCTCGATCAATCGTGTTGCCTGGTCGGGCTCGAAGTCATCGGGATCGAGCCCACCCATGCTCGCGCTGCACCAGGTTCGGATGACTACGCCGTGCGCTGGTAAGGACAGTGAATCCCAGCGACTGTAGTTCGTGAGTTTACCCTTGCAAGAGACCCCAGCGAGGTGTAGGTGGA